CTTCCCTTCCCTTCCCTTCCCTTCCCTTCCCTTTCCCTTTCCCTTTCCCTAAAGGAGACTTGAAATCTTCATTTTGTTTGAACTTTCTTTTTTGTTCCAGTAACATGGCAATGAAACGGGCCTTTAAACATGGACTTTTAACCACAGTGGCTCTTTGCTCTTTGGAAAACAGAGCTGAGCTTTTTCTTTCAGTAAGTGTAGTTCTGTGTTGCTGCTCTCACCTCCATCTCTTTCATAAACTGATTAATCTTTACTGTATTTCATGTGCCATCCTTCTGAACTCCTGGATAATGGCCATGTTCTGATATCAGAAAAGTGGCCTCCTGGTCTTGAAGCCTTCCTGCCAAAAAGCAGAAGCAGACAAAGGAAATGATTCATTGCATAAAGGCTTGATTTGATGTCATAATTCTTAAACATGTGCAGACACACAGAGTTGTTGTCTCTTTAATTGGATTTCTTATGTAGAAAAAAAAATCTGTTTAAGGTATCAAAGTACATGTGATGACATAAAATCTCTACTGGTCTTTTATGCTGCAAATCAGTTGGATGTCTTAAATGTGCTGATGTGTTTTTGGAGGAAAAGTATGTAGTCTTGTAACTTAACAATTCCGGCCATTTTTTTCAGTGGCAAAGAGAGAACACTGTGAATGTTATGTACATTATTTTGTGTATGAACTGGAGAGAAATACGATATTAATACTAGAAACAACTAAGAAAAAAGCACAAAGCACTAAAAAATCTTGAATCTGATAAAGTGTATAACAGTTTGCATGGGTAATTTAAAGTAAATTCTGTAAGCTGCTATTCAGTCAAACAAAGGGAAATCTGAAAAAAACATCATAACGTTATTTGAGTAACAGTTGAAATTGTACAATGAATGCTGTAGGGGTCCTCTGCATGTCTGCAGCTCAGTGGAGATGCCAGTATTGACCTCACTGGCACCAGAATAAGTTGGAAAGCAGGGAAGGGACCACATTAAACGGCACCATTGAAGCTCACAGCTCAATCTTTACTAATTTAATCTCATAAATTAAATTAATCCACATCATCCTAGAGCAAGTCTTCAAAGAAAAAGAAGTAACTGGATATCAATACTTTCCTCCCCAAACTCTGAATTACAGTGATATGACAGCGGACAGCTTTTGCCCTTTGATCTCTGCATGATTTTCATTCCTGTTTGTAGCCTGTGTCTCAGACCTACTTCTCTCATTACTTTTCCAGAGCCAACTGAGCTCTCTCTGCTTCCTACCTTGTCCTCTAGCCACCCCCTGTGGCCCTTTTCTCTTTTAAAGAACTTGGTCTTCATCCCTTATTATTCTTTGTTTTCTGCCCTTTTTCTTCTGCTTTCCTCATGATAGCATGAAATAAAATACCAGTGCAGAGAAAACCATGCTGAATACTGTAGAGATGTGAGTTCTCCATGTACTCTGCTACATGGAGCAGCCACTGTTCCGTGCATGCCTGGTGAATCTGCACTCTTGAGGTTTTGCTTTTGCTGAACTGGAGCACTGGCAGTGTAAACTTCTATCCACACAATATACTGTGTAAATAAAAAACATTTCCTCCAAGTGGAACTGACATGCTTTCATCATTCATTTGATCACCTCCAGTCTCTAATACACTCCAAAGCCTGTCCTGTTTCTTTGTTGTCACATTAGATTGATAGCTCTTTGAGTCAGCAACTGTGTTTTGAATTCAGCCTAACGAAACAGGCCCTCTGCCCTTGTTCAGTGAGTTACACCTTAGCTATGACAGTAAAATAAATATGCCCAAGGAATTCCTGGTGCCAGACAAACACAAGTCTGACAAGAAAACTGAGGCTTGATCTGGCAGCAAGTCACCTAAGACCTTGACAAAGAACAGGACTTTGTGCACACCTTTAACAACTCTTGGACAGACTGCCTAAATCCTTGAGATCCCAAGTACTTTTGAGGTATGGGATGTGGCAGCCAACACAAATGTTCTTCCCTGCAGACTGTAGTCTTCCTTTGTGCTTGAGCAACCTGTGCTGGAAGGCGCTGATTGCCATGCTGGGGAAGTAGTCCTCTGAAGAACTTCTTAGCTTGAGGAAGTGGTTTGGTTGGTAATGGCTGAGATCTGAAGTCTGCAGTTTATAGTGAGATTTAAATAAGAAAAGTAAAAATTATGCTAAAACTTTCTGAAAATATTATCTTTGGTATTTGCTGTTAACTCCAAGTATATTCTTGAAGAGCTGAATCAAAGCAAACCCTGGTGTTGGTATAATATTGTTTGCTTCAAAAGCAGAGCACCAATCTCAGTGACCAAGGAAACCCCTTACAGTACAGTTGTTGGTTTTTTTTTGTAAACAAAAATAATAAGAGACTGTTTTCTTTCATTCTAGTTTCAACTCATATGTCTTAATAACTCCGAATGAAAGCAGAAGAAATCGGTTGCAGCAAAGTAAGTTGAGTTGTCTCATGCATTGTGTCTACTGGAATAAGTTGTGTGCTTTATTGCCCTTGCAACTTTTATCCTCAACTTTTCAATTATTTTTGTGTGTGCAGCTGTGAATGTGAAGTCAAGATTACGAGCACCTTCCTGTAGACTTTTCTTAAGATTAAAGTCTCATCTGACTCAACTGCATGCAAAGTAGGGCTTCTTCAGGAAGAGGTTTTTGGTAATAGCAGTGCTGTAGCTACTCAAACTGACTTGTACAATTCTCATCTGGAATTAGATCAAAACAATATTAGCAGGATTGAATTTAGCTTTGAAGACTCGTTAAGTTATAGGGAGGAAGAATCAAAATACATGCATGAAATATTTTTGAAAGCATTCTAATATAGAAGCTAAAGGAACAAGAACCACGCTGTTGATTCTTGAATTCTTGTTTAAATTAGATGAGATATGTTAAAAAGCTTTCATTGGCCAAAGTTACAACAAAAGAGCCATGAAAGAAATTCCATGTGCAGACCCGACCAAACACTGCAGTCTTGCACTCCTCAGTGTTTATTTGTGCAGAATATGACAGCTAGGGAGTGTCAGTCAGAACTACTCACATTTTGAGCCCTTGAGGAAATAATGCAATTAAAGCATTTCTTCTTAAACATTGTGAGTTTGCCTGAAGTGATTTATTGGCAGGGCTTCCTTTCATTGCAAGAAAGAAAATGAGCTTCCCCTGAATGAAAACATAACCCCCTGGAAGGAGAAATTAAAGCAGATCATTTTAGGATTGACTTTAAGAGCATAGGTACTGTTGCTTTAATAAAGGTCTGCTTTTACTTTGTGCTGCCAATGTGCAAGGTCTCAAGCATGCAGCGTTCTTCTGCCTTAGGGAGTAGTAGAAAATGAGGCCTCACTGAATCCATCTGTACCTAAGGCCTTGTTTTAGAGGTAGAATGAGAAGCTGGTGTCAGTCTTGGGCTCTTTAGAGACCTGCCCATGGCCTGGCTTTATCCTTTTAGAGCATTTGTTTGCTGTAGCTTGGCATTAGAAAATATAGTTCATGTGGTTAATAGGACTGAGCAACTGAGGTACTACTCTGAAATACAGATCTTATTTCCATAGTCTTTTTGGGCTTTACTGTTAAAGGAAATTGCCTATTTCTCTGTCAGTTGATTCTGTACAGCAATTTAATCAACCAGCCATCCCATAGGGCTGACTCCACAAGCCTCCCAACACTACCAGCTGCACTGACTACATTCCCACTGACTAGACTGGGAGCTTGCCACTCAGCTTGCTTGTGGACTCCTATCCTGACATGTCTTAGTTTGTAACTGAACCATGCATACTTCCCATTCTTATTTAAGAAACATGATTGGGAAGGAAAAAGTTTTTACCGTATGGTCTTGAGTTAGCAAAAATTTTGCTTCTCTGGTAATTTTGTAACATGCTGCAGGGCTGTCTGCATTCCTTGAGAACAAGAGTGACTGTCCTGGATGAGTTGTAATTGCTCCACGCTGCTAATGCTATCTGCTTTTTAGGATGGCTTCTAACTTCTATGTATTCGGGTTTTTTTTGTACCCACTCAGTTGCTAAGAAAGAACTAGATGACCTGGAGCAGTGGAAGGAAAAGCACAGGCTAGGACCAATTAAGTTGGCTCCACAGAGACTGGGTAAGTTATTACGAATTGCAAAATCAATACTTTTTTTTTTCCTGTATAATATATATACCATACATGTATGTCCTTTAGCACGTAAGACATCTTTCACTGTTTTTCTCACATGCTGCTAATTAATGAGATTCAGTGTCAATAAGGCTTGATTTGAGCCTGCTAACTGCTCTCTGTACTTTTTGATGGTCATGGCAATGAAGATGCTTCTGAAGCAAAACAGCATGGAATGTCACTCAAAAAATCTATCAACATTATTGTAGAAAATCTGTGCTTGATTTTGGGGAAAAAAGGAGATTGACGAGCCTGCCTGCTGGGAACACTGTCTGGTTGATGTCTTGGGGGTGATGCACATATGGCATTAGCGTGCAGGTGGACAGCATTTGCTAGAGACCCTCTGGTTGTCCATAAAAAATACTCTCTTGGGTTTAGGGCCAATGCGCGTGCTGGCTCCTGAGGAGGCAAAACTGATCCCTGCAGTTTCAGGCTTTTGCAGGCTGCATGTGCACAAAGCTCTCTATTACTGATTTTATTTAAAATAACTACAGAGGTACGTAAGTGAAAAACAGGATAAAAAGCTGCATGAACTTAGGTCATCTGAATTGAAATGATGCATTTGGTACAACAACCAACTACTTTTTTTGTTGACATGTGAGAGGAACTGTAGTAGATCTTTTTGATTGTAAACACTATAAAGCATTTGATATAGTCCTTTCTGGCAATTAGATTTTTTTTTTAACGAATTAAACAACTCACCCCCAGTCTTTTACATGGAATAAGACAGCAAGGTGTGCTGAAGCAGGAAGATTAATAGAAATGCTTTTCAAGTATCTGTGTTCAGACCTATCTTCTCGTAATATCTTTATTTAACGTCTTTAGCATAAAAAGTAGAAGTGGGTTGATGAAACTTGCTGACAAGACAAAACTTGAAAGCATCATTTGCACAGAACATGGTGAGGAGTTGGGCAGAAAAAAGGGATGACCTTGAAGGCCACCCCTAGTAGAAATGGGACAACATTCACTGTGATAAAGTGAATGATTACAGTGATGCCTTTATCAGTTTTGTAACTATAGAGTTCTTCTTCCTTCTCTTGGCTGTCGTAGGGGATTTTGGGAAGTGCAGTACTGACAGACCATTGTCTGGCTTGGCTTCCTGGGAATTAGGTGTGTTCTTTGCCATGCTACCTAAGATCAGTTCAGTGTGATTTTCTGCATGCAAACATTGATATGAGGTAGGAGTTGAAGAAATTTGAACTGATTCCACAGCACAGTTTTTTTTTCTGTGATCAAGATGACATTAGTCCCACATTTAGTTTACCCTGCAGTGTGAGTCCCAGCTGGCAGTGAGAAGCCTACCTTGCAGGTTGGTGTCATGCTGTGTTCCCCATGCAGTCATGTGGCCAGATGTGGACTTCAGTAATGCATAACAGCTGCTTCCTACCTGTGAGCAATTCCTAGAATATATGTTTGCATCCCAAGAGGACCACAAAGCTTATTACTGAGGAAAGAGAAATCTGAAAAAAAGAGAGTCTATGCGTAATGTCTGTTCAGAAAGTGTGCAGATTGGCTGTGTGACAGGGGACACAGCAGAAAAGCTTCAGTGGCTAAGGATGTGGGGAGTATTAACTTCCTCTGATTTCACCACATTTGAAAATATTCTGGTGAAAGAAAGCAAAAAGCTTCTGAAAGAGTTCAAGGAGGCTATATGAGCTCTTCAGTCACTGTCTAGCTGTCACTTAGAAAGACCCTTAGAGACTGATACACATGCATTACATTCAGTGCCTCTGGAAAGAGGTAAGGTGCAAAGATTATTAGATGTTAGGATTCCCAGAGGAACAAATCTGGAACAGAGGAGAGCTCAGGGAAGGAAGGAAAAAAAAAAGAGTAGCATCTCTAATTTCACAACTGCAAGTACTCATTAAGGTAAAAAATTATGTTATTTACTCAAAGTTATAATACTCATCTAGTTGAAATCACCAGAGTTCTTAAAGTTGAAGTTTCTTAATATTCATGCTTTCCATAGGGAAATAAGTATTCTGGAGTTCACCTGTATAATATTTGACTGGCAAACTTTAATGTGCCATGAAGGGATAAGAGCAATGTGTGATGCAAGTGCTGTCCTCTTCCACAAGCAGTAAGTGGAGAAAGAGATTATGCCTAATAAATACAATTGCCTCTTCTCCCATTATACAAAGCCAATCATAACATATTCTGACTTCAGTGTCAGAATATGCAGTGTCAGAATATTGCAGTCAAACCAACTTAAAGGAATTAAACTTGTCTGAAAGGCTGTAGGCAATGGCTGATAATCGTAGGTATTTATTTAGAGCTGATGCCCAGCAGTATATGCAGAACCACACAATGAATACAAGTGTGTTTAATGTTGCCAATAACAGGTGAGAAAGAAAGAAATACTGAGCATCCAGAAGATTTCAGAATTTGTATAATAGCAATTTTATTTCCTGTACCTGGGGATGAAACATTCCACAATGGCAACTGTATGCTTGTTGCTACTGTAAGCTTGTTGCTTGCATTCTGCATGGAAAGTCTTTCTAGAATGTGCACTTGTATGGAGTTTGTTGTATGCATAGGAATGTTTCCACGCTTAAGGAGTGTGATCTCCCATTTATTGAAATTTATAAGAGCATGTAAGTGGAGAACATTACTTCTAGTCTGGGATGATCCATTCTGAAGGATCTAGTGTGGTTTTCTTAATGTTTCAGGACAGATTCTATTGAATTAATAGTTACATAATGGGGAATTTCACAGGAAATCAGTAAGTGAAAGTACAGCCCTCCATCTCAGAATGAGATGGGGTCTGCTTTTGGGTTTTTTTTGTTGTTTGTTTGTTTGTTTCCAGCAACCTAGGGAATAAATTACTGGCTTTCCTAAAGCAAGAAAATCCTTTGAAAAATAATAAACCAGAATAATTGAAACAAAATCACTCCATCCATCCCTTATGCTTTATCAATTTCTATTTGTTTATTTGTTTGTTTTTAATTTTATAATTGAAGACTGAACATCATGACTAGAGGTCTAGATGCTCTCAGAAGAGAGCACATGCCTTTGGAAAGAGCACCTTCTGTTAAGAACTTATGAATATCAGGTCTGTAAGTAAAGGTTTTGATTTCCATTTTGAAAAGGGGATTCTTCTTCAAGCCCCAAGACGTTGCTGAGATATTCAAATGATAGCATCCCATTGCAGTTGTCAGAATCTCCATGCCCCTAAATATGATAAGGAAGAATCTTTTTGGCAATAGAGTTTCTGACTCTATACGCATGCATGACAAACTGCACAAAGGTGGGGTGAGGTAGGTCTGAAAATCAAGACTCATCTGCAAAGCAGACGATAGATCTTCTGCAAGTTGAATAGTTTTTCAGTAAACTGATCATACCTAGAAGGATATATTTGCTAGTAGAGTGGATGGCACAGTGGATGCTCTGCAAATAACAAGCTTGTGCTTTTGACGGATGGCTAAAATGATCAAAAAGGTCTCCTGCCTGTTCTCTTTAATGTCAGACAGTGCCTGTAATTATGAAAAATGTTCTGTATATGCATACATTCAATCTGTTATATTGCTCTGCTCTGAAATGATTGACATTTTAGCTTTAAATACTCGTGCAAAATGCAATTTGTACTTTGTTTTTAAGGTGGAAAAGAATCAGAGGCTCAAGCAAGGCAAAAACAGCAAATGATGTTCACACAATCTAAATACCAACAAAAGGTCAGTAAGAATAAATTTGTTTGTTTACTTTAAGAATTCAAAAAAAGCTTTTCATGAGCTGTTTCATATGACCATAAAATTACAGCTACTCAACAAAAGAAAGTCATGAAACCTAAAGAAAGCTGCAGAAAACTAGAAACAATTGATCTGCACGAAAGAAAATGAGAAATCTGTCCATAAATATGTAGCAAGCCATATCACAGATCATATCTAAAATGATAACCTGTACAATTGCAAAGCCACTTGCTTACACTGCTGTATCTTGCAGCATGCTGCCTGCAATTTCACTTGATTTCAATTAATCAATGCATCTCCCCAGTCAGTGCTGTAAGCACATAGTAGTTCCTGTTATAAAAGTTATAAATGCTTGAAAGTTACCAGTCATCTGTGTATTCCTTTCATGGATGACCATTTATCAGTGCCAGATTTCTCAGCCTTCCTAAAACCAATATTTGAAGTAATGGTTGCATGGTCTGTCTTATTCAGTGTCTTATTTTAAGAAAAAATTCTGGAAACTTTGATTGAGCACTTTGGAAAGTGTTTCTGGAAACTCTGATCTAGTATTAAATGTGGAGGCTGGTGGCCCTTCCTACGGCAGGGGGTTGGAGCTGGATGATCCCTGAGGTCCCTTCCAATCCAAGCCATTCTATAATTCTATGAATCATGAGAGTCAAGTGAAGTTACCTTATGTTTTCTTTATATGTTAAATATTTTTTTATGTTTACATCACATAGCACAAGAGAGAAGAATATATGAAAGCAAGAAAAGCAGCTGAAGAAGCCGAAATCCTGAAAAAGAAAGCAATTCAGAGAGAAAAGGTAAAGCAGTTACTAGAGAGTTGGAACCATATAACATATGCTCATTAAATGAAATGATGGGTCCTGTATAGCATCATGCGGTTAGAAAATCCAGTCCTTTTCTTAGTAGCTCAATGAAGAATATTTGAGCTAATGTTCTTTTGGGTTTTTGACTTCCTTTAGCTCTTCAGAAACTCAGCCATTTGATTGCACTCAACCTGAGGAGTTAGAGAGCACTGGGGTCAGGATAGGTGTTGTGAATATTGATACAGCTTATAAAATTGATTTTAGCATGAACTTTCTCTGTGAGATTTGGCTGTGGCAGGTGGCACATAGTAATCCTTAATTGCCTGCTGTACATATAGGAAGAATAGAGTAAAATTCATGCTGTCATGGTGGGAAATGCATTCAAAGCATGAAAAGGTCATTACATGACTACACTGTGCTGAGCACTCCCTGCAATGCTGACACCTCTCCAGCCTATGTAGCTTGCACATTCGGGTGCATTACTAAAATGTAAGATCACTTTTACTGCTAGTATTGGCCATATATTGACACTAGTGACTGCTCACTTCCAATTCTTCAGTTTTATTTATGTTTCTTTGTCTCTGAGTAATTCCCACAATGATTTATTGTCTTGTGCTCTATAAGCCTGTGGAAAAATTCGTTCATTACTCCTTGGTGGAGTCCAAGTAGCACTTAGTTGAAAATGTAACATGGAATTTAAATGAAAAAAGAGGAGAAGCATGGTACTGATGTGTACAGTAGTAATGAGGGAAAGGGAGATTTCAGGTTTGCAAAACAATAAAAATGATATTCTGTGTGGAAGCTGAAGGCTGAGAGTTAATTCCCAAATCATCACTACTAGATTTTGTGCAAGGAGGTACATAAACAAAAATAACCTGAATTGCCTCTGGATGAAGCTCACTCTGTTCCCAGTCTTTTTGTGGTCAGTATTAGTTTTTCGTAATAAGCCCATACACAATAACTCTCATGGGCAATAAGTAGTAACATCTGAAAATGTCATTACCAGTTACCAGTTCATGTATAGCTCCAGAAGCAATGGCAATAGCAATGGTAGAATGGGGATTTGTTATATTTTATTCAGCTATTAAATATATGTTGTTTGCCCATGGGCACTGGTCAAGAAGAATGTTGCAAGACTGCAATAATTTGTAGTTATACCTAGAAAATATATTGATGTATCTGTTTTCTTTTCATGCTCTTTAATTTCTTACCTTCACATCCACAGATTATAAAATCTTTATAGATGTTGTAGACAGTAAAACTGTAACTATCAGTTTCTTCTAAAGGAAAGTGCACATCTTTGCCAAACAAACTGTTTAATTTGAACAAATAAACTTACACCCACAAAGCAAGCAAACAAAACTAAGAAGCATGAAATGTCACCATTAACCTTAATTTGTGTGTTTGGATTGTCTTCTACAACAGTGATTGAACTGATGACATAATAGTATTTGACTGATGAAATTAGTATACTCCTTCTTAGAATATACTAGTATATTAAAAAGTCAACTTTGTATAAGAGAAGTATGCTAGAAAATCATTAAAAGGTGTTGATTTGGCTATTTGACCCTGCCTCCTGATAAAAGGCTCCAGAGACCTACATATGACAGAAAGTGAGTTTGAAACAGCTGGTTCTATAGGCACTATAGGCTTCCAAGAGCAAGTCTTTCTGCAATTCCACAAACCTTCTTCTTGCTGGCCAGTCTTTTTGCTCAACAAAAAACAGTCTGAAAGTAGACAGGGACTAAATGACTTTATTGACAAAGACCCTGAAACTTCACAACTGGAAAGCTACTTTGCCACCAAACACAAGCGGTGAAGCCCTACAGACTTAGAGCTGTTTGTGTCATTGCTTAAATACTTGTTTTGCACAGAAAAGCAACATCTATTCTTCTTTTATCTGTGTGATAAAAAATGAGCATCTGCCAAAGCAGTATTCAAATGTGGAAGGTCTGTGCGCCTGTGTGCAAGAGTTCACCTGCCTGTCCTTGGAATTATTTAATTGTGCATGAGGTTAGTTGCTGGAATAACAACGTTTGGCATTGACTTTGTCTCTCTCCAGCTCCCAGACAGAAGATGGATCCATCCCTCACCATTTTATATTCCATAGGACTAGTCTGTGTGAAATCTGCAAATCTCTGTGTGTAGCAGTGAGTGGAATTCAGGATCGCTTGTGCAGGCATCATCAGGCATCTCATCCTGCAACTGGTTTGATTTGTCTACAGGCTAACCCCAGACTGCATAAATTTGGCTTTCCTTTACCCTTAAGTTAGAGAGCTCTCAGAAATAATTTTACAGAGAGTTTGTAATGTTAGCAATGGATTTCCTGTTTCTGTATTTCTCCCTTGTGCTGAGATGTGTGTCTGATCTTCAGAAAATAGGAATACAGGAGAAGCAACATAATTTGCTCATCAGCAGCAGGCATCTGCAGTTTGGTATCTTTTTTTAGCCTTCACATGACAGATCTTGACCAGATTGAGCCATAACTTCCTTTGAGTCTTTTGGATGAAAGAACTTGTCAGAGTTCCCAAAAAAACAAACAAGTGGTTGAGATTCGGTTCCTTGGTTTTTAAACTTCATGTATTTCTGCTGTACATCAAACAGTTTAACTTCAGTGTGCTGCACATTTTTATTTCATTTCATTTCATTCAATCTATGTTCCTGTTATCCTGCCTTTGGCATTTCCTCTATATATTTTAAATGTTGGCAACATATGAAAAGATTAGAAGATTTGAAGTGAAAATGCTCAGTGTAATTTTACCACATGGAACTTTCTCACTTTTGCACTTACATTACATAGTAACAGTTCTGCCATCTTTAGAACCTGTCCTATTTATAACATACTGTAATTTAATTTTATTCTTTATCAAATCATGTGCTCTTTAATTTGGCTTTATTAATCATCATGGATGGCCTTTTTCAGGAATTTGTTAAAACCAGGCACTTTACAGACCTTCTGCTAGTGCTTTTCAACATGTTTACCTTCAATATCACAGCTGTTTCATGCTTGGCTTTGTTTCTGAAAGTTGTGCCAAATGTGGAGTGCTTTGGCAACCTCTACTGATAGATTGTCATTAGTTAGAGAATGTTGCAATCTCATTTCCCATCATTTGTATGTGTCCTAAACAAGGGTCTCAGGGTAAACTTCCACATTAGGAAGCAATTGCACCACCATTTTAATATGCTGGAATTTTCTTCAGGCCACATTTCGATGGGAAGGGAATAGGATATTTCCTTTTTTTTTTTTTTTCTAATGTAGTGGGAGTTGAGAGCGATACTGTGATACTTGAAAGGATTACATTTGTTCAAGTTAATAACAGTTTTCTATTAAAAGCTGGAGCAGTGATTTTTGGATTTGAGCTTTAAGGGAGGATTGCAATATGATGGCGGATCTTGTGTCAAATGCTCTTTCAGGCATAAAGGTATCAGCTTTCATGATTGAGTAGTGATTGAGCAAAGCATGGGAACTATCAGTGCTGCCATGAGGGTGTCTCTTACTGGCCAATAATAGATGCCAGTGAATTTTTGTCTTTTTTTTCTTCCCTTGTTGAGTTGCACATATTAGTGGGAGTCTTTTGCCTGAAAATCATTCATCTCTGACTGGGAGGTTAGGAGCAAAGAAGATGTTCATTCCTTGAACACTGTCAGAATTTACCCAGTTTGTGGAGTGATATGCTTTACACCTAATGCTCCTCACAGAACTCTCCTTGCAACTTCTCACCAACCACAAAGTGGGATCTTGTCCTCATAGTGTATCAGAACTAAAATCATGGCTTAGCACTTATGATTTGTTGCTTTTAATACCCAGAACTGTCTTTTGGCTGCTCTCTCACTGGACCTATCTACAGTCTAAAAAGATGTCAAAAAAGAATTGATTTGCCTCCTTTTGACTGAAATTTCACGAGCTACATACTGCTGCTTCTGAGGAGGAGTTCAAGTTGCCCTTCCACTGGAAAATGTTCAGTTTTATATTGAAGGACCTGATTTCTATTGTGATATTTAGATTTTCCCAGGACTATCGTGTGTCAATATTTTCATTGTCTCTTCCACTGCATGTGGTATCTGAGGTGGAATAACAATGGATAAGTAAGCATAAACTCTCATTCTCATCAACCTTAGCCTTTACTCAAATTGGCCAGTATGTGATGCTCCTGAAGGCCATATGTCTATGATCTTGAATCATTGTAATTCCAGTACTGCAGGATTATGATCACTTTTTGTGTTCTGATTCTCATCCTCTACCTTTTCACTTCTCACTGGAACCAGCGTTTCATCAGTCATTGGAAGAGATGGTCCTAACAACAGAACAAGAGCTGAGAAGCTGTGAGGCCCCTGATGAGGGCACACCTGCCTGTCAGGACCATGGTGTATTTTTCTGTTTGATTCTGGTCTTTTGATGAACTTACTAGGAGTTATTTGGTCATGTTTGAATACTTTAAAATTTGGGGTGGAGTCACTTGTGTACCCAATCACTGCTGAATTTCTTAGAATCAGAGTATTGAAATACTTGAAAAAATCAGTTTGTTTCTTTCTGACTAGAAATCTCAAATATATTTTCTTCTTTATAATGCTGTAGGCAGAGAGACTTGAAGTTAAAAAAAGGCAACAAGAAATGCAAAGAAGAGAGATGTTCCTTGAAGATCAATTTCAGTAAGTGAAATTTGAAAGCTCCTCCTTAAATTCCCTCATTTGCTTATTCTTTTAATTTGGGAGATTTGGGCTTTTTTTGTTTGTTTGTTTGTTTGTTTTCTTTTGGATAGACTGAGGATTAAGAAGGGTTTGGCTTCTGTTGTTTTTTCCACTTTTTTGACTTGAAACATTCCAAGCCTGCTACATACCTTAATCTGTGAGCTCTGGTTCAGTAAATTTCCCTTAGCTTCTCAAAATATACATTTTCAAATGAAAACTGTAGGACTTAGTGTTTTCTTTCTCTAACTGAGTCAATATGTGATCATTCAATCTAAGACTAATTAACCAAACATTATCTATATACCCACCCATGTATTTTAGTGACTAGTAAGGAAATCTAATCCACACTGGAAAAAATGAGAACTTCCTATATTTAGCATAGTTCTTCTACAGCTTAGTGCAGAGATATGTTGTGAAAATCTGTTTCCCAATAATCTCTCCTTAATGTAAGAATTAGATACGGCTTAACTCTTTATAATTAATTCTATTGGCAGTAAGGTTCCTGCCTTGTTAGTTCATTCTGCTCTATCTATTTATTTTTAACTGATCCAAACCAACTCTATCACATAATTAACACACCATGCTCTTCAGTCACCTAAAATTACTCACCTTTGTTTCTAGCATGATTGATTGCTCTTTCCTCCTCTGTGACCTTTGGAGGAACAACTTTTGTCCCATGCTAGAAGCTCCAGTTCCTTCATCATTTGCTGAGCCTCTAATCTACAGATGTTTTGGAGCTTTCTCACTGACCACTTTATTGACATCTTTATTTTATTTCTTCCTGTTTATCTTCAGGTAGGGCACTTTCCTAAAATATATTGCCAGTGTTTGTCTACTGGTATTTTGCAGTTTGTCCCTTCTCACAGTATGGATTTCCCCTCAGCACACCTTCATTTATCAGGATCTGTACTCAGCTCTGGTGAGGCTGCACCTTGAGTACTGCGTTCAGTTTTGTGCCTCTCACTGCAAGAAAGACATTGAGGCCCTGGAGTGCATCCAGAGAGAGCAAGGAAGCCGTGAGGGGTCTGGAGCACAAGTCTTATAAGGAGTGGCTGAAGGAGCTGGGAATGTTCAGTCTGGAGAAGAGGAGGCTCAGGAAAGACCTTACTGCTCTCTATAACTGCCTGAAGGGAAGTTGTAGTGAGCTGGGGGTCGGCCTCTTTAGTGTAACTGGTGATAGAACTAGAGGGAATGGCCTGAAGGTGTGCTAGGAGAGATTTAGGCTTGACAATAGGAAATACCACTTCTCTGAAAGAGTGGTCAGGCACTGGAATGGGCTGCCCAGGGAGCTGGTGGAGTCACCAACCCTGGAGGTGTTCAAGGAACGTTTGGATTTTGTGTTGAGGGACATGGCTTAGTGAGAACTGTTGTTGATGGGTGGATGGTTGGACTGGATGATCTAGTATGTTTTTTCCAGCCTGGGTCATTCTATGATTCTATGACTTCTGAACACCATGCACAGCTTTGTATCTCTGTTCCTTTATAACACCTTCATGCTTTTTAAGCCTAACCCAACCACAAACTCATCAGATCTTTCAGTACAGAATCCTCAATTTTGAGACTCTTTTCTATGGGGATTGTGAGGGTTCTTATCTTCCCATTTAGCCTGTTTTTTGCCTTACGTCTTACTCAATTGCAAATGGAGATATATCCCTTTCTTTCTCTCATCTTCCCCGTCTGTAACTTTTTCTTCCTTATGGTGAAAAGAATTCTGGTGGGATGCTTTTTCTGTTGCAAGTAAGCTTGGTCTTGTCAAAAGCAATCTCAAATGATACATCTTCATGTTGGACATTAGTCTCCAGGTGGTGTAGGGGCTTACACTGACAAGGCACTGGCTGTACAACTTTCTGTCCACTGATGTAAGAGAATCTCATGAGCCTTCAGCTGGAGCTGTCCCAGGAAACTAAACTGACTGATACTTTTGATGTTAAAAAAGGAGTGTGTGCTGCCTTGCAGCACAGCTTGTGTCTGACTATAAAAAGATTATTTGTATACACTGGTTATTAAACTTATATCAGGAGAGTCAATATGGATTTGGATGTAGATATGGAAAGAGGTGAGCTGAAAGCCTATCTACAGTTAATGCAATTTTGGTTAACCAAAAACCTTTCATATTGTAGAGAATAGTATTACTGCCTTCAGTGGTCTAATTAAATCCTCTGGGGGGCAGAGAAAGGAGGGTCTTGGGCAGTGGATTAACCATCAGATATTGTTGAGGTCATATTGCTAAAATACATTTCTGTTTTGGAATACAGTATCCTGTAGTAACAGGAAAATGCTGTGTGACATCTTGGATCTTGTAAAGTAACTCCATTTATAAACTGCTAGTTATTAGAGACATGTCTGCAGAGAAATGTTAAAGCAGTTGTGTGCTTTTGCATACTTTGCAAAATAGAGAGATTCATTACTTCCATCATTTGAGAATTATGTCATTTGAGAATTATATCATTATGTCTAGCAGCAAAACAAACAAATATGAGGTTGTGCCCCTTTCCTCGCTGTCTCTTCTAGGAATAGTTTGATCTCCTTCCCTGCTTGCTCAGAAAGGGGCAAGGAGGGTCGTGGGCTGCATATAAAGCAGTGACCTCTGCAAAGTCATGGCCTGTGGAGCCATTTCAAAAGGTAGGCTGCCTTATTAGTCTGTCCTCTGTAAGCACTGTAGTAGCAACATCACTGTTTCCTGAGGAGATCAATGCCTACCAGTGGTCTCATTAGCTGGGAAACCTTTTGAATTGATCAGCACATTCAGTTGTGTCTTCATACACAGGGTACAGCCAAATGAGTCCCTCTCTGGTATGCAGTGCTACTTCTATTTGATTTGGAAAAGCAGTTAAGGTTCTTGTGTCATTAACATACTCTACCAAGAAAGTATGATACTGGCCAGAAGTTCCTTTTTCAGATGAAATTCCTGTCACTATTAAAAACATGAATTTCTTAGTGAAATGCCCTCTCAAAGAGTAATGTGAAATGAGCAAATGCCAAAAAGAAAAATTGCCCACAGCCTTGTCCCCTGCCTGCAAAATACAGGTATTTCCTATCTCCTGAAACCTTTCTTAGCTTCCTTATGTAAAACTGGCCCTTGAAAGTCAGCTGTATGTGTTATCACAGTTGCTTGATGAAGTGTTGGTGTCTTGTGAGAATGAGGTCTAGGCACACATGCAGAGTATTATGGAAAAACTGCAAGTCTCACCCTGTTGAGATCAGCAGCTCCTCTGTCTCAGGTAAATGCAGGCTCTATCAGGCAACTAAACTGGATAAAACTCACAAAGTAGGTCCTAAAGTAGCTTTGTATAAAAAATCTGAGCTACATGCAGGAGCAGACTTTGATCTGAGGAGCTGCTGCACAGCAAGACTGCTATGGTTGGTGCTTAAAGAAGAGAAGAACTTGAGGGACTTTTTGGTCACAGCATTGCTGTAGTTCTGCCTCTCTAAGTATTAAATCTAGAAATTAAGAAGCACATGCACGTGTTTCTGCTGCAAGCTTATATATGAGATGGATTCCTTTATTCTCAGAAGTAGTTTCTTTGAAGCATTTTACATTGATGACCTGCAGTAGAAACTGTATTTCTGTCAGATTGTATTAAGAGATAATAAATGCTTTTGTAGCCCGTACTTAGCAATCACCTAATCCTTGCGAGGAAAGAACTGAGTGTACATTTCCAAATGGGAATGAAGAAGAGGTTAGATGGTTAGATGGCCCAAGACTTTTCAGGATGTCTCTTTTACTCAGGGAACAAAAATTGCTTTTTAAACAAATTGCTTTTTAAAGGAAAGCCACCTCATGGCTTGCTTTTCTCTGTGGCTTGTGTGAGTGCTCTTTCCAAGCTACGTTAATCTGAGCCTGAACGGCAGGATATCTCACCACAAGGTTTTAGCACAGCTCTCATAAGGTGCTTTTGCTTAATTTGGATTTGATTTGCCAGAAGCTGTGGTGTTGGGTGTACACCACCACAAATCTAATACTGATTTATGTAAAGAGAAAAGCAGTCTAGTGCATACGGTTTTGTTAATGGCACATGATGGCCTTCGTATTGCTTCATCCTTCTCTTTGTTACATGCTTATCTCCCTGTTTTTATGAAGGTTGTACTCCTGTTGAAATTTCTGGCACTGTTGCTCTCTGGTACATGTGTGCACTTGATATACACAGAATTTGGAGCTGGAAACACAGTTTGCCACAGTACCTCTGAGTGCATATTCCAAACATAGTGCAGGAGTTTCACCAAACCAAGCTGATATACACTTGCCTGCCAAAGCAGTTTTCTCCAAGTCATAAAATGCAAGAAAATAAAACCTGAATCAAAGCAGAATTTTTATTTATTTCTCTATTTTTACAGGATAAATACTCATGTCCTTGCCAGTTTTCAGTCCTCTATGATGTGTGGTTCAAACAGCAGGCTGGTAACAAATTTTCCCCACAGAAGTGCAAATGTAAACCTGACCAGACTTTTAATATAGGTTGCTAAAGAGAGTGAAAGAGGGCTCACACAAAAAGGTTTGCAGCCTTGAGAATCTTTTGTTTGCTCTTTTCCACCACAATGGTCTCCGTTTTGTTCATTTGCTCCTGATTATTTTAAGCATTGTCAATTATTTAGCTAACAGGCAGAAAACTAGGCTTTTATAGACATCTAAAGGGACTCTCCTGAGTGTAATAATGAAGGCAGTTTATTGAATGCCTGTGAGGTTGCTTTCTAATTGTATACATTAATCTGCCCATGCAAGCTGGCTGAAAATATAGAAGCAGATTGCACATACAGATGGAGCACACAGAATGGAAGATCTATGCAATAGACTTATACAAAACTGCATTTTCCTTAAAACTGGATTTATGCTTATTGCCTCAGATAATAAATGGAAGTTGATGTCTAAAATAACTTCCAAGAACATTGGATGAGTTGGTGGGAGGAAAGAATAGCTTAGCAGTATTATTTCATTCAGTCAGGAAAACAAAAAAAAAGCAAGT